TCATTTCATCATGATGAGAAACTGCACCCTGTCTGAACATGGCCTTAAATACTGACCCGCTTCAGTTTAAAAAAAGGAGAAAATTCAGTTTAACAGCATCTAAAGGTGCAATTTTTCACAGACTTGTTGCATGAAATTTCTGTAGTGTTGGCAGTTTCTTCAGTTTGCCCAGTCAGCAGACAGTGGTGACACTGTAAAAGTGGTCATTTTTTCATGACCTGTCTTATTACTCCATACGCAGATGGCCAAGGTGTGAAAACAGTCCAACTGACATTAATGTGAAGGCTGTGACATTTCTGTTATTAAAATTATAGTTATCTGGCAAGTGAACAAGTGAAGAGTACCTGCAGTAAATACTTCTTGCATTTGCTACACACGTCAAGACATCTTTGAGCTTTAAGATGAAGAATGTACTACTTACTATGAGTTCAACTGGAAGCGTGGGGTGGAGGTAATGTGACTTGAAGCTGTTGTGTTGTGGTGAATGTGTTATTCTTCTAAATGAAATAGGCTGTATTTTCTTTCAGTGATGCTCAGAATTAAATGTTTGTACAATTAAAGATTGTACAAACACTTCTGTCAGCTAAGAACAGGAAACTGGGTCTGCAGCTCTCATGAGCTCACTAACTTAGACAACAGATGATTGAAATACGCTGCCTGGTCTGATGAGTCTCGATTTCTGCTGAAACTTTGGGATAGTGGTTCAGAATTTGCCATAAACAACATGAAAGCACGGATCCATCCTGCCTTGTATCAGCGGTGGTTCAGGCTGCTGCTGGAGTGGGAGATATTTTCTTGGTACACTTTGAGCCTCTTAGTACCAACTGACCTTCGCTTAAAATGTCACAGCCTACTTGAGTATTGTTGCTGACCATATCCATCTCTTTATGACCATAGTGTACCCATCTTTGGATGGCTGCTTACAACACACGATGTCATAAAGCTTAGATGATCTAAAGGTGATGTCTCTAGCACTGTTAAATCTAAGCCATAACAAGCTCAGACAGCTTGAGCAAGGTGTACCTAATTAAGTGTCTGGTGACTGTATTGCAAACAGTGAATTCACTAGTTTCCATGCAAACTAACTACAGGTGGATGTTTCTATAATCAAACAGGCCACTAGAGGGTAACAGCAGCAATAGAAGCTCAGCACCATTACCCCATTATTATTAATAATATAATGAGCCGAGAGTTATCTTTACTTGAAAAGAAAATGAGATAGTTCTTGTGTTTTATTGTGGGCTGACTTAAAGTGGAGGAGATAATTGTAGCTCCAGTCCAAATATGCAGTAAATGAATAGCTTTATGAAAAGCACCCCATTGGCAGAGCAAGCCGCGTGCTTTACTGCTGTTGAAATCACAATTAGTTTGTCATGATGAAAACATTTGGCATGTTAGTATCTGTTGGCAGTCAGGGTGTTTACAGTGTTTCACCCTGGCAGTTGTGGCGGCTGTAATGTTCTGCTCTGGATATTTGTCTGCAGGTCACTGGGCCACAGGTCACCGAGAGATGTAACTGAGCTGAGGCAGGTTGTTTATCTTCCTTTTTTTTTTAAATCACCAATTACCACTACTTGTTCGTTCATTAAAACTGAATCTGTCACGTTCCAGATGCTTTACTTTAGAGAACTAATATTAAATAACACTAATAATCACAAACCCAATGTAAAGAGAAATAAGAAAGAAAAAAACACAGTGTAAAATGTAAATAAAAGCAGAAGAAGATGTGCAAGTTTCATGAAACTATATCTTATTCATTTCCTCTAATGGCCACCTGAGGCTGAAATTCTTAGGATAAAACTCTTAACTTTAGCTTGCTACTAAGGGTTCTGGAGTAAAAATCTGTGTTATTACAGGTGTGGCTTGCAAACCCACTCATTTCTAACAACTTGTCAATCACAGTTCATCAGCCATTGAGCATATCCAACAACTATCCTTTCAAAAACTGAGTATGAACAAGATTCGTGAAACTGACTAAGGATTTTTATTCAATATAACCCAAAACGAGTCATACTGACTCATTATTATCCCAGAGCCTAGAGGCAGACAAGAGTTTACTGGGATCAAGTCAGAGCACCGTGTTCTAACTAGACTTGTATGGGACTTGAAGTCTATTTAGCAAATCGCTTCCACATTTGCTTCAACTTTTCAGATCCAGAGTCTACGATCTTCTTTTTTAATGTCTATGAGTCCAAATTGAGGCTTTAAAACAGTAGAACACGAAACCAATGGGAGCTGTCATGATATATATGAAGTCTATAACTTCTTATCTATCAAACATTGCACACCTTTGGTACAAAAAGATTATGCATAAGGGCACTTTGAGAATTCTTGTACACGTCAACATGCTGATGATGGACATTGTGTACTTTGGCAGGGGTTGCTGTTGCTATGGAGAGTTTATCAGCCTTTTGTTTGTATGAGATAGAAGCTGAGCGCTATTGGATTCTTTCCTCTGTGTATCTGTGTAAGCCTGCGGGTAAACACTCAGAGCTATGGCTGCATTTAGATCAGCTGCTGGCCCATATACACTCAATACGGGATATAGAACAAGCCACCCACAGGACCTTTCATTCATCAACAAAAACAAATGGGCATCCCTGGAGGGTTTTAAGAGATACTGTAAAACTAAATGAGTGATTAAGTCAGATACAGCAGTTTAATAATTCTTTAAATTGATTGTATTATTATATTGTCCTCCCCTTTAAACATATCAGCATATTAGAGAAACATACAAGCAAACGTCTTGAATTTAAAGTCACTTAAGGCATCACGTATGATCAACAAAAGGTAATTAATTTTATTACAAGTATTAATTTTACAAAATTCTCTTTTTGTGTTGTTTGGCAATAATAAAGTCAAACATTAATGTTGTTGTATAGCTGGTATCACACAGTATCATGGGTTAGGGTCACTTTGCGAGTGATTATAAGAAAGACAGACTCCACCGCTGCATTCATCATCTGAGAACTTCCCAGACTGGATGTTATCAAAAACCAATGTTAGCTGATCTACTGAGACAACTAGAGTGTGTCCTATGCTGCCACTGATACTTCTACACCGCAGGTCCGAACAACAGTGGTCCTCCTGGGATTGAGGAAAACTCCACCTGCTGCTAGGACTGTCCAATTCTGGACTGGAAAATCAGCTTGAAAGAGGTGGTACCTTTGCTCTTGAAACACAGACAGGAACATAGCAACTGTTCACTCCTCCTTCTGTTCACTCACAGCCAGCATGTCCTCAGCATACCACGAGGCCAATTCTGTGCTATGACTCGCTGAAGTGTGTTTTTAGCTTTAGTTGTTTTTGTGAGAGCTTGGTTTGCGTTACCAGCAATAAGTCAGACTGGTTCTCTGGGCCTAGTTGGCCAGGGCTATCCTTTGCTACCAATTTGTAAGCGCAGTCAGTGGGTTTGGGGGTTTCAGAATCTCGTCTCTGCTTTTTGCAGATGATGTGGTCCTGTTGGCTTCAGTGATCAATGACCTGGGGCAGCTTGCACTAGAACACTTTTCATCCAGGTGTGGATCAGTCTGGATTAGAATTTGCACCTCCAAATCTGGTTCTCAGCCTGAAAAGGCTGGATCGTCCACTCTGGGTCAGGTACAACTTTCCATGGAGAGTTTAAGCATCTTGGGGTTGCTTCCTAAGTTAGCAGAGAGAGGAATGGGAGACTAACAGCCAGACCGGTCTGTCGTGATGAAGTGAGAGCAGAGTGTAAAAGTGAAGCTGTGAGGTCTGCATTTCTACTCATGAGCTCTGAGTAGTGATTGAAAGAATGAGACTGCAGATGCAAGCAGCGGAAATGAGTTTCCTCCAAAGGGTGTCTGTACTCAGCCTTAGAGATAGGGTGAGGAACTGAGCTGCTACTCCTCCACATCAAAAGGAGCCAGCTGAGGTGTTTCAGGCATGTAATGAGTGCCAATCGAGCACATGCTGGAAGAGATTACATCTCTGGGATGGATAGTTATTTATTTATTTAGATCATTTTATACAGGGGGTGAAAATTACCCTGATTGGTTTCATCATATAAATACAACACAAGTAATGTTTACTTGAAATTACTGATAATTAAGTGATAGCACAATCACAGGATAATAAATATGCTTGTAAGTGGTAATGTTGATTAAGTTGTATTAATGAAAAGTTTAATTTTTGGTTTCTACAAATATGACCACTGACCTTGAGGTCGTAGTCACTCAAATTAAAACACATGCAAGATTTGTATGAATTTTAAAATCCAACATTGCCTCGTCCTTGAGTTATCGAATTCAAAAGCTTGGATGTCCATGCTGCCCCATCAGCCTTTTACAGCTTAAGGGGTAAAAAAGTCAGTTTTTGACTCTAGAATTTAGAACAAGCATCTCTAAGTGACCTTTAAAGCACAGCCATTACTGAACATGTTAAATGTATACTGCCTCTCACCCTCTTGAAAAAGAAAGCGAGCAGAAGCCAGCTATTATTAGAACTCCCTTTAGGCTTTTATCCTTTGGCTGCATGAGTCTCACACTCCCCACATATCCAGCAACCACAAGCCCACATCTTAGTCCGTTTACTCGAACATGACCTCTGTCTTATTGGGCTCCGAGCCGAGAGCTACTAAACCAGTGTGTTCCTTCTTGTCACTTCCCGGCAAAATAGTGGTGTAACTCTTTGTACCCCGAGGCAGTGAAAGCAGCTGAGTGGAAATAACTAGACGTAAAGTCCTGATCGGTCACGTACGTGGTGAGATTTCTTTGGCGCATGAGGGTCACGTGGTGGAATGTCTACAGGGTAGAGTTACTGAACTTGACCTCATCTCCATCTTTAGAGGAGACCCGGTGACACCGGGCGGCAAAACTCTACTTTTGTTTCTTTCCCTAATCACTTCTCCTTTCATCCCCCACAGCTGTAATCAGCTGCACCCTAGGGACCATCCACTGATTGATATAATCACTTCTGTACGCTTAATTAACCGACTGCAGATGACATTAAAATAAAAAAATAGAACAGAAGAGTAACACTTTAAACTGTTTGCTGTTTTATTGTCATTTGGATCGCATTTACAGTATTTACAATATTTTCAGCTGCAAAAAAGTGTAGCTATAAAAACAATTCTGTACATACTGTATGATTAAGATGGATTTAAATCATTACAAAAAAAAACAAAAAACAACACACACACACACACACACACACACACACACACACACACACACACACACACACACACACACACACACACACACACACACACACACACAACAACAACAAAACATAACTGTTCATATGCAACAGGGCATTTTGTTCTCATATGGCACATTACAACAAAAGATCTGCCCCTGCCTTGCTGGATCACAAGATGGTAGAGAGTTTAAACACGACATCCGATGAAGTTTAATAACAATTGCCTCCATTGAACTGTCACAAAGCATTAAACCACCCACCAAGGCAGGCAAACGATACTGTAGCTTACTGTTGTACGTCAGAGAGAACCGCGTGTCCTGTAGATTATATCATGTACTGTTCTTTTCACTGCAATTAATGCAAAACAACACCCAGAAAGAGAGTGGATTACATTCAGCCTGGTCCACAAAAAACTGATGTTAGTGGGAATACTGCGATTACATTTTTTTTTAAAGAAAAAAGAAATGCATGCACAAAACTTGCTCAGAGTCAAACATTTGTTCAAATTTACACACGAAACAGCATTACAGTACAGCAGAAATGTAACAATGTGCAACACCAGTATTAGTTTAAATACTTCAAGTATTCGAATAAAGTGATCCTTTGGGTGAAATTGCTGTGATAAGGCTGAACAACAGGCGCTTCCTGTTAACTGAACACCTCCACATGTCCCTTATTAAACAGCTGTAAAGACTTTTAATAGAAAAGTCTTCAACAGCATTACTGTATGAAATCAGTCATAATCTACGTTTTTAAAATCACCCGCAACATGCTGCATTATCCCCGGCCGCCCGTCTCTTCCTCGAGGACGTCACCTCACACTCTCGACCGATACCGAGTGTAGTTCAGCAACACTGGAGCGACTTCACCAAAGTCTGAGAGGTGATTGTAATGCATTTCCTGTTAGTAGCCATTTCTGATGTGTGCATTTTCTCATGAAAAGGATAACGGATGCAGAAAGCATTAACGAGCTACTGCTAAAAAAAACAGGCTGAAATTAAAAAGGCTACTTATGTCTGCTCTAGTCTGAAGAGGATTCTCAGAGTGAAAAAAAACAAAGTCTGGTTCCCATCTTGTTGGCAGAAGATGATACGGGATATGAAGACGTATTCTGGAGGCTTCATTGTACTGCCCAGAAGAGGTTTTCACTTGGTCACCTTATAGCTGCTCAGATCTAGCGGCTCTTTGCTGGGTACACACCAGTCGTCAGCCTCTTGGCTCATTTTGTAGTTCTTCAGAGCAGTTTTGTTGTACACTGGCAGCCTTTCGATGGAGTCTGTGGACAGCGCCTGGAGGGACAAGACGACAGGATGTAATTACAAATGTCCTGTCTTACCTACACCAGTTCCACAGGTCTGCAGAGTCGGTTTTGTGTTTAACAAAAGGCATGGCACAGGGCAGCTTCTATTTGTTATGCGCTCCAGACTTTCAAACTGCCGGCTTCTTGTCACAGTTTCATGCATGATCACCCTGCCTGGCTCACCTTCAAGTAGATGACAGCGTCTGTGCCATAGCCCTCCATGGAGTAGAGCTGCAAGTCCCCCTGGAAGTACTTGGCGTAGAGACGAGAAATGGGCAGACCGTAGCCGAAGCCAGCCTGTACAGAGAGACGAGGGAGATCAAGGGTTTAAGAAGGCTTTGTTCTGTCACACTGAAAGCAGCACTGCTCATCCATGGAACAAACAGATCTTTTGTCAAGTTTGTATTGTGACTGAAGGTCAATGGCTTTTTCAGAAAAACAACAATATTAGTCCAGTGCTTCAAACTTTAAATGACTAAGTAAGCAACAAAACGCTTGGAGGCTATAAAGAAAGGCAACCAAAGAGAATGTGGTGCTCATAACGGCACCCTTTAGACCTGCTGAATAAACAGTTTGTTGTTTGTGCAAAGCTGTTAATGATCGACTTCTTAGGCTTTACTTTTACTTACCAGTGGAGGCCGTTTCTGGTCTCCTATTTGTGGAGCCGGAGCAGTAGAGTACATGTAGCTGAAAAGGTTCTCAATCCTACGAAATGGGACACCGCCACCCTTGTCGCTCACCTACAGCACAGCACGGGCAGGGGGTAAAAATAGAGAATGATGTGAGGTGCTTGGACAGAGCTGAAGAGAGACGGGCCTGCCTGTCATGAACACTCGGCTTCAATATAAGGGTGGAAGCCGAGTGTCTTATGTTTGTGTCTAATTTCAAGTGCAGATTCTGCCATTTAATTCACAAACTGTTAAAGACCAATAAGTTTTTGTTTATTATAGTATGTCACTTATAGTCAAGCTAGTCGGGCACAAGAAGCCTCGACAGTGTTTTGTTGACACATGGGCATAAAGTCAAGATTTATAGGCTCTGTGAGTATGAATGCACACAGCCCATGGTGCTAATCTTATCAGAGCTTAGTAGCTCTGCGTGCCAGTAGGCACTGTGCTTAATTGAGGGTGAAGTCATTACATAACATGTTTAGAGAAAGCGCTGGGTGGACATGACAAAAGGAGAGGTAAGTTTAGCTTTGAAATCAGATGCACGCTTTGTACCGTGTGGGATATCCCTGTATTATTAATGCAATAAATACTAAATGGGTGCAACGACAGCAATAAACAGGATCAGTGTGGTGAAATAATTTTGCCTTTACAAGCTTCATTAACCTTGCTTTATATGTGCTTGTTCACAAAAATAAAAACCACCTACGCTCCTGTTGACTCCTACAGGCAATTTAAACCCTTTAATCCAGCTGCTGTTAATATGTTAGAACACTATGGGAGGAAACTCCTTGAAGTAACCTGCATGAATGCATGTAGAACAAGACCAAGTTCACATCAAGGATGTCGTTTGATCTTTCGCTTTCCCACCACATTAAGGATGTTATCTGAATCCAGAGTGGGGCTGAACACAGGTATGCTGTGCAGATTTGAGCACTTTTTAATCATTTAATTTTGAGGTACTGAGTTACTATTAAAAATTTCTGGATTTACCAAATATACCCATAAAATTGGTCCAATTTATGCACCCCTGAAATCACACCATTTCCCCCCCAGTGCCAGTGATCCATTTAGATCATTTTGATCTGAGGTGCCCAATTTTGGGGATCATAGGTGCCGAGACGCCTGCCTTTGCTTGCACCTAAATGACACTTACTCAGAGGTTCCTACCAGACTGGCCCAGTCACCAGTAGTTCACCTGGAAGACGTCCATTTGTCTACACAAACTTAAAAACAACTCGCCATGATGCAGTGAAACTGAAATGTGGGACAAACCAGAAATGGAGATTACTTTTACTTTGAAGGCAAACCCCTGCAACCAAAACATTTCAAAAGGTGAAACTTTTACTCAGAAGTTTTGTGTTGCACGTTTTCAAGCTTCACTGCAGCTCAGAACGTAAATGGCGAGTGTTTGCAAAAAAGTTGACATCAATCTGATGCACGCTCAATCATCCAACCCTGAAAACTAGACTGAAACTAGCACTACTGACTAACAATGGGCTGTGAGGTGAGTTTCTTCATCATTAATATGCAAATTTTCATGCCTTTAGATCAATGACAGTGAGTACCATTTTAACCAAACTTCTCTGCGAGTGGTACTCATGACCATTACCCAATGACAATTGATCAATGGTCATGAAAATTTGCATATTAATGATCAGGAACTGACCCCACAGCCCATTGTTAGTCATGGTACTTGTTTCAGTCATCACGCAAATGTGTTGTTTATAAGGTTGGGGAAACGTTTCTCCCACTGAAAACGCTACGTCCAGATGAACAGAATCAACTTTTGGGGCAATCATAAGGAGGCCAAACGCTGGTCAGCTGGTTGGGGAATGCACATTTTACCTGGAGGCCTGGTGTTTTAACCCTTTAAGACCTACCATAGAACCAATTCCACCAGAGCTTATCTTATATTTTTACATGCTGTAGTGCCATTTTTGGGAGTATTTCAAGTTGCTATACATCAATACAACCATTATAGCCTAAGTTTTAATGATATGCATGCATTAAGTGCATAGTAATTACATAAATTGCAAAGAAGTGCAAGGAAAAATAAATAAATAAATAAAATTGAAAATCATTTTTGTTTTTTTAACATATATTTCTAGTTAGAGAAATTTAAGAGGCTTATCCCTCAAAACTGTAAATACAAAAAAGTTGCACAAACTAGTTTCCCACCACAGGAAATTTATTTTGAGTGTCTTCATAGTTTTATTTTTGAAATACACCAATTTCTATACACTGCAGGAAAAACGAAAATAAATATTATAGTGCAAATTTGCAAAAAAGCAGCATCTGCATCAAAATAAACTATTTCCAGCAGTGCAATATGAGTCCTAAGCATCCCAGAAACGACACAGAAAGTCAAACATAACTTTTAACAACACCAGTATAGGCTCATGAGGCCTTGATGGTAAAAAAAAACTACATTTCTGCGAAAGTGACGTCACTTCCGGTTTCGGGCAGGACATGGCGGACATGTGATAGTTCACGCTAATGGACGTAGGAAGTGTTACAAACAGCTGATCGGATCGGCAAAGCGTTTTTCTGGAATATTATGTTTTTATTGCTGCAAGTGATTTTTATGCAGTTTTTGCAAAGATATGTGTGGAAGGAAACTGTGACCTAGGACAAGCTGATGGCATAAGATGTAAGTACAACTCCTCTGGAATCATATGCAAAAAAAATTATTGTGCTAGCTCACGTGGTTGCAGAGCTACCGGGATTTAAAAATAGTTAGGCAAAACGGAGCGTGCCCGCTCAGACCGGTTTTAAAGGGTTAAATAGGATTTTTTATTTATTTTTCTTATTATTTCTTTTTAAACTCTGAGCAATCTGTACAATCACCATCTCCAGAATCGAGCAACTGACAACAACCAGTCTACATGGAGGAAAATTGGAGGTCAGGATGAATTGTCCCTTTATTTTTTTAAGATTGCAACTCACCTTAATCGTCAAATCTTCATCCCCAAGAGAGACCATGACTTTAATAGGTGGAAGGTTCCTGCTGCTCTCATGAGTCTCTATCGTGGCCCTCATAGCATTCTATAAATATTTAAGACAATAAAATAAATTTTCAAGATGTTCAGGAATATTGAGTTGAACATGCACATATTCAAAACTGGGTCTCCTACCTTGAAGAGCTCAAACAGCATGTGATAAAGGTGAGATGGCACATAAACAATCGTTACTGGATGATTTGTCTTCTTCACTGCACAGAAGGAAAAAAAAGAAGTATTTATTCTATCCACTTCATTTACAATTCATTATTCTAACCATTCATGGATGATTTCCATTAGTGGCAATTACTCTGCTGCACTCTGGTTTTACGCTTTGTGAGGATGGAGAGGAAAAGGTCTGTGTGTCAATACTGCCTGATGTGGTCAGCTAGGCCCGCTTAGCCATCAAATCAGACTCTCTGCTATATTTAGAGCCCTCTCGGATCCATCATGCTCTCTTACATAAAACCACTCATACTGTGCATACATACTGGAGGCCCGGGGTCTATTTGTGCTTTACTGAAACCACTTCATTGCACTGCAATGACTTTTACCCTTGAGGCTGTTTGCATGATTACCTTAAAAGATTTTTCACACCTGGGTAAATTTAACGCTAAAGGGTCAATATGGGCCGCAGGACAGACTTCCAGAATTCCTAAATTCTGTAACTTACGATTCATCTCCTGAAGTATCACATCAGGGGCACAGAGGTAGTACTGATCACAAAGCATCTTGGCACTTCCGAAGGCATCTGTGAATATAAAGGGAGAGCATGTCACCGAAAACAAAAAACAAAGGGACAAACAAAATTCAGATTCAACCATATTGTATATTTACCCTGGACTACATCTCCAACTTTACAGTGAGGATCAATGCTTCCAATGGTGTTTGGGTGAACCGGATTGGTGGTACCGTCAAAAATCAGGGCTGTAGAAATAAGAAAACAGTGAATCTTCTGCAAACGGACCACTGAGATACACGTTTAACTAAAAACTACAAATACTATACACAGCTTGGTTTTGATGCAAAGATAATGAAGAAGTACAACTATTTTCTGTTGTTTTAATAGTGCTACTTATTAATACATATATTAGAAAAAAAACTCAAAGGGGGTCATATTATGTTCATGCCAGCTCTATAATATAACTGTTATACTCTAGTAGATCAGCTTTGCATGATTCACAGCTCAAAATAATCCTTATTTATCTTATTATCAGCCTTGATGCAACCCCTCAGCCCATTTTTTATGAAACATAAATTATATACAGCTTGTATATTATGTGTATCTGGGACACCCATATATCCCCTTTCTTTGATATCATAAAGACTGAAGAAGAGCTGAACTGTGTTGAACACAGTGATTACTTAGAACATATGGTGCCCTTATTATTTGAAACATTGGCTGTGTTTACTATGATCATTTACCACCACAACAGCATATAAATGACAGAAAATGAAAAACACGCATCAAGTCAGACACTTGGGAACACATGCTAAAAATACCACTGAGGAGCACAATATGCTGCTATGAGATGCAGAAACCTGCATACGTGTTAAAAGTGTTTCTCAAGAAGAGTTGTGCAGTTAATAAAGCATAAATGCTTTCCTTTACGCAACAGTGATTTTGAAAATCTAAACTATCAGATCAGTGATATGCATCACCTGTCTTTGTTCCACATGGCTGATGATACCTCCACAAGCTCTCAATAACAAAACAGAAGTCTGAAGAGCATAACATCATGCCAGAGCAACCATCTGCCGTTGACATGGGAGTGTTATCAGCACTTGTCACAGGGACAACAGGCAAAAAGAAGGAAAATGGGGCGTATCAGTCGGAAAAATGTAAAGCCATTCACTCTTTTGCCTAAAACAGAAAAATGTGAGCAATTTTGCTTTCAGAATTCTGCTCCAAATGGGAGGCTTGCGGCACCAAATCCATCCATGTGATGACTCATCAGTACATTTACATCAGCTTGTAATTGTGCAATGAACGCTGCATCATATATAAGCACAGCAGTCGGTGCAGCATTTCTTCTTTTCGGTGCCTAAGTTTGTGTGGAGCCCATTAAGACTGTAATTTGTTTAAAAGCCCACACAGAATGAAATGGTCAAAAGATTAAACACGGCAGAATCAAATTAGATTTTCATAAGCTTTTTCATAACCTGATCAGAAGAAAAGAAATTCTAGCATGTAAACAATTTAAGCTAATTTCTAGCTGGCCATGCTCTTCATGTGATGATTCCCTGACAGCATTCAATGATATCCAACAACAACACACTGACAATAAAGGTACGGTGAATTAAAATAAATAAATAAAAAATTCAAATGTTACTCACTGTGCTGGTTGATGAGCATCCGGATTGAGATGCGGCTCATGTAGAAGCGATCCAGAAAGTACTGGATGTTCTGGTTGGTGGCCACATCCTGGGGGAAGGCCTCTTTGTATTCTATGACACCCTGGGCCATGGTGGGCACCACATCATTGTGTCTGTTTCTGATGGTAACTAAGGTATCAACAAACCTGGGGAGGAATGACAAAGACATCCTGCATCAGGGGTTTGGGCAGTATCACACTGAAAGGGATGAAGGCACTTGGGAGAACACAAAGGTCATGTTTCATTACAAAACATGAAAACACCCATAAGAATGAGAAACTTACTCTCCAAGGACTTTGTGATCATCAGGATTCTTGTCCAGGAACTCAAGGAGCTCCATTAAACTCTGGACATACCTGAAAATATAAGTTAAAACATGTTAACATGTGCTGCAAAATACAAGAGAAACTGCTAAGTCCTCAATTCTTTAAGAAAAACTTTGTTTATGGCACATATACAGATCACAGCCCACTCCTCATAAACGGAAACAGCAGAAACGGCAGCCTTGAAAACAACAGTCACGTGACATGTGAGGAGAAACTAGGGTAAAGTTCAACTCTAACGTCTCCGCCTCACACTCACCAGCGCAGCCCTAGTTGGAAGGAGTACAGCTTGGTCAGATAGGGGGCTTTGTAATTCTGAGCACGATGGGGGGGGGATAAACTGGCAATAAACAAGTCAACAGCTGTGACTGTGACTAGACAGAAGATAAAAGCTGGCATCAAATATGCTTAAAACACTGGAGGCTGACAGACACTAACTGTAATAAGCTGCTCTTTTGTTTTAGAAAATGTTTCTGCTGAATAAATACATTTACAATATAAAAAGCAACTAAATACATTTGATTACTTGGATCATATTAATCAATAAACCCCATTCAACTTACCAGCCCTGCACCATTTTCACAGATGGAGTTGTGAGCAGTTTGTCAGGGAGCAAGTTAATCTCCTTCATGATATTTGAGAGCCTTACTGGAAGCTCCTGCCTCAGAAAAGCAAAGGACGTCTTTTCACAGGCATTAATGGAACCTGAATTGGGGACAAACAGATGTACTGACTAGATGATCCGGAGAAAAATACTCATTCAGAAGTTTTTTTAATGTCTTAAATGTTAGTAAGAAGGACTTTGTGCGAATTTGAGACATTTAGAGAAATTTTTTTTTTGAACTGCTGACTGGAATAAACAACTGTATGCATAACGGTGGGTAATTTTTAAACTAACTTTAATCCAACAAAATTAAAGTCAGATGGATAAAAAAAAAAAAACAATAACAGCGATAATAATAATAACAACAATAATAGAAAATTAATATTCGCATGTTAACATCTGTGTCGAGACTTGCAATCCCTTTGCACAAAACGCGTGATAGTCTGCACATCATAAAGTCTTTATTAGCAGTTCATAGTGGTGAGAAAATTAAAAACATATACTATAATGCACACAGTGATAGGCCCACGTCTGACGCAACACTAGCAAAAATGAGCACCATGTTTCTGCAAACACTGCAGAGCAGATGCAGAGCCGTGCAAGCATGCATGGCCACGGGACATTTGGTCACGAAACGGTGGTACATCTGTGGTCACGTCTTCGCAGCTGACGCCACATAGGTCACGTAGCCCCCCATTGTCACAAAAACAAACCAGCAACAACATTAGCGAGGATCAATACTCACCGAAATCGAGAAACTGCTTCATGGAGAGGGGTGAAGGAGAGAATTTCGAGAAATGCTCGATGTGTTGCGGCGCGCTGGCCACGGCGGCGTTTTTCATGATAAACCGAACGAACTTCATTGTTGCTCTGTGAGGTCCCGAGTCTACTCAGAAACAGGTTCCAAAGCTAAGCTACTCCAAACCACTGAAGGTGTTTTCATGCTGTAGTATGAAAACAAGAGAGGCAGCAGCGGAGATGTAGGATTCTCCAGCCAATGGGAGAGTGGGAATTCTAATTTACTCTCCAGGCTGGCCAATCAGAAGAGGAGGAGGCGGGCTTAGTGAGTTTGGGTTCTTCCACTCTAGCAAACTCAGAGGCCCCAACTTTCGAAATTCTTCCTCAGTTCCCCAAGCTGAACTAATATATAAATAAATCAACACGTTTATCAAGTGGTTTTAGTCATAAAAACGCTAACACAAACACAATAAACAACAATAAACCCTAAACTAATATTAATCCTCTTCTGGAAGCCATGCTTACTGCTTGTTGGCCATCTTTGCAATGCTTACAAGCCCCTGAATAGTATTTTGGGTGGAATCACAAGAATCACCAGTAGGAAGAACCACCATCTTTGTTTGGGGAACCCAGAGAAACTGGAGCTACACCGAAACCATAAATTGCGTAAAATTGAAACAAAATAACCAGCCTGTTCACTTTAAGGCCAATACATAAAAGGTGTGTTTAATGTCAATTTAAAACATTAAAAAAAACCCCAAGACTTTATTTTGTATGAAAGCAGAAGTACATGTCTCAACATGTCTCAGGCTTTGCCTCCTGCTGCCATGCAACATACAAAAGTTCATTCAGATTCAGAAGACTTAACTTCTGAATCCCCGAGGGGCAATTGAGAGACTGACCTTGCCGACCATACATACAATACACAAACATCACAATGGGGAAACAGGTCAGGCTAGGTAGCTGGCCGGTCCAGCTACCTAACTTACAAAAGTTAAAACGTGAGCATAGTTAATGTAGTTTTGTTTTTTCATTTGGTTTCAACACCGATTCACCAATTTCATTAATTACTATATTTATTTGCAGCTTACAATTAAGAAGTTCAGAACAGGTATTATGCTACAACTCAAGCACTCTCAGTAAACATGTGAGTCTGAATAGATATGTGCTGGATGTGTTGTTCTGACTAAAGCTAAAGCTGAGACTAAAATAGCATATTTTGTCATTTATCTTACTTGGGGTTTACATGTGCACAATATTCCTTGTTTAGTCTAATTCGTATTAACTAAAAGCCTTTTAGTTTAGTTTTACTTAGATATAATAACCTTCAGAACAAGAGCTGACAGTATATGTAGAACATGCAAAGACGCAAAAAAGCCCCATGTAGCCAACCAAAATGCTCAAACCTTTATCAAGAGTATGCAGTACCCAAGCAGAAAATGACCCATTACAAGAGCTTACTTTGATCTGGTGTTATGTAATACATTACTAAGAATTAAAACATTACCCATAACTGTGTTGGTGCACTGGGTAAGTTTTTTTGACATTGTGATTACTGTAATAATTCATGGTTAGCGTTCACTAGTATAGGTTTAATGTAAGTGAGGTCAGAGGAAGTTGTGTGTCTGAAACTTAGCTGCCAGTTTGCTAAAAGTATGACAGACGTGCAGTTCAACTCATCTGGTTTTCACACTTTCAACCTTCATTCAGGATTAAACTGGACTCAACGGCAAACATATTCAGTCTGGTTTGGGCAGCCCTGAACTTTCCCAGTGAATGTGACAAGGCAGCTGTCCAACATGTTCTGATCAGACATTAAACATTTAACCCGCTGGTACAAAGTTTGTGTGATCATGCCTGCAAATAGCACAGACTGAGCTGGTGTCATGCACTCTCTTCTTTCAGCAAACTAAAATTCCTTTAGTGATTTTTAGGGTAAGGCCTGTTTTCCAGCTCTCAAAGATATTGGATTGGACATAGGTCAGAGCCCCACATGAAATCTATTTCAACACTGGTTTTCACCCATCAAGCTGAAAAGCATTTCTGTCAGGACTGCTAAAGCCCAAATAACTTGCCTTCCCATTTCCATCTTCAGTAATTTGTTTTTAGCTCTATGGCTCTGTTCTGGGACCTTCACCATCTATGTGCATAGAGCCACCAGCTGCTCATTAATGCAAATATCTAATGGGACAATCACATTGCAGCAAGTCTGCATTTAGGGATCCAGAAATGGTCAAGATGACCTGCTAAAGTAAAAGACAAGCATCAGAATGGGGGAGAACGGTGATTTAAGTGACTTTGAATGCAGTGTGGTTGGTGGTGCCAGATATGCGAGTTTAATGACTCTTTGTTACAAAAAAGATATGCAGAGAGAGCACAACACATAAAACATTGAAGCAAATGGGGTATAGGAGGAGAAGACGGCACTGGTTTCCATTCCTGTGAGATAAGAACAGAAAACTGAGGATACAAATTGTACAGGTTCACCAAAAGTGGACCACAGAAGATTGGAAAAGCATTGCATGATGTGATAAGTGTTGACTTCTGCCGTGACATTCAGATGGTAGGACCAGAATTTTGCATGAACGACATGAAAGCATGGTTGCATCCTGCTTTGCATCAATGTTGCCTGAGTATTGTTGCTGACCATCTCCATCCCTTTTAAACGACAGTGTACACATCTATTGATGGGCTGCTTCCAGCAATGACAGCAGATATGACGTTAGGTCAGAAACAGCCTGAAAGCATGATTTGGGCTGGCAGTGGGTTGCAAAGCCACTTGCAGATGAGTAGCAACTGTGGGAAGGCTAAATTGGTTTAAAAACCTGCCACTGGTGTAGGTCATGTAGAAGAGTGTCAAGTAAGCCACCAGATGTTGCAGACTACAACTGAGTTTGACATAGTTTGATTCAATACTATGCTTTCTTAACAAATCTGGCTTTGTGGATTATGACAAATAAAGAAGCTTTTGCTTTAAAGCTGATATATACATTTTGCTACAATTAGCTGTATTTGATTAGGTATACACAATCAAGAATTATTAACTTCATACTGTAAAGCACCTACTGTACTAACAATGATTTGCAGTCAGTAAACAGGTGTTGCTGTTTCAAAGTCCTTACATAGTAACCTCCACCTCATTCTTCATTTCAATGATAACATAATCAGACACACTCTGCTCCTTGTTTAGTTCCTCCAGTCCGAGTGAACAGGAGTACACTCTCTGTGAATGATTCTCTGGAAGCTTGCCACACATGGTTTTGAAAAGAAGTGCCTTCGTCAGGGAACACAGTGTCCCAGTCAAATCTCCCATTACATAAGCGACGGCTGTGTCAGTACAGTTGGGATTGTCCTCATAATGCCAGCGTGTCCTGCCCCTCAATCAAAACATTAGAGTTTACACAGTATGTGCAAAGAGGGAAAAAAGAAAAAACAACAGCCTAAAGCAGTATTCCAGGGAAATAACAGACATCACCACCACAAAATGTCACGACACATATCACCTTTTTTTTATCAGGTCCCACTACATGATAATAAGCTGATCCCTGGTAGACGTCATCAAAACAAGCATTAGTCATATTGTTGTCAAGTGGCAGGTTGTTTATTGCACCATATCAGCTTCATTTGTGCTCTAACAAGATTTGATCTTGCTTCATTTTAAGGTATTTCGAGCAGCTGTGATAGATGAATCTGTGAGTTTATGCCTTGCATTGGAATACTTTGGAAATGATTAGCACTTTTCCTGTAAGACTTTAAAACTTGCCAGTCAGAGGAAGATTTGCTGTCCTTGAAAATGTTTCATTTGAAAGGGAGAGTACAAGAAGCCAACCACATATTTCTGCTATGAACAAGCAAAGAGTAAAAAACCTTTTCTGTATTTTCATGCATTATTTGGTCAATTTCATGTATGCTCGTGTTTTGTATTTCACTTCAGGCTAATGTCAAAACCAGGATTTCTAAAGGCTGTAGTCAGTGATGTGTCTAATCATCCTCATTCGAAGCACACCCGAGGGACGCTTGATTTGCACTTCTATTCCCTGATGATTTTGTGCATTTTATTTCAAGGGACACGTTTAAGCTTTGCAGCAGTAACCTGTGAAATTTCTTCCATTTTTTCCCCAAAGTAACGCGCATGCGTTATTGTTTTGCATGCAATGCAATTTCCTGTTGTCTCATCCATGAGAATCAGACAGTCGTGTGAGAACGGCGACATATTTACTGTTTTTGATGTGATGGTTAGATTTGGGTAGCCCTCTTTCCTCTGCTTCAGTCATTTAAAGAATAACATATTTGTTCAAGTATTACTCCAGTAAGGTTCAATTTCGACTTAGTTTAGATGTCTTTGTTGTTTTTGATCTGTCAGTCAGCTTCATTAACATAGTTGAGATATATACATGTTCAGTAAAAATCATCCCATATTTGTGAAATATGTTTTTAACATGCATAAAGATATGCGACACAAATTGCGCAGATATAGGTCGTGCACATTTAAGTGCGTTACTTCTCCAAACAAAAGACACGAACGTCACCTGATTTCAAAAAGAAATGTGACTTGGGACACCTGACTCTCACATGAGAGGCAAGCAAACACAAGAACACAGAAAAATAATCATGTCTTGTGTTGACTCAGCAGAATAAAAATGAGCATTGAAAAAAAAATGAAGGTGCAAAGAATAAGAAACTGAATTATTTTGCCATTTTAAACTGGTTCTAGTCCAATTTTGTATGTTTAAGAAACATCCAGCATATTTTAAGACATAAAAGATTCAAATCGATTCATCAAAATTAATCAGAATGCAATTAAGTGTCTGAAGGTTTTAATTTCCTGGGGCGGGAAGAAAAAATAAAATGTATTAGTGCTGACATATCCATCTGCTCTTTAGTGCAGACCCTTGGTTAATCTTTACTCTGTGACACACCATTTTACTCTTTAAGCCAACTTTCTTCTGACTGGCTAACTCTCACAAACAGAAGGTTTTGACAACAGGTGGATGAGGCAGATGCGTCTGCCCGAGATGTTCGTTTTCGGGGTTCCGGCTGTTTTTTGACATCAACCAAGACTTAAACAAAACTGAAACTGTGCAAAAAGCTTGTTTAGCTCTGTCTGCAGCCTGAAATTTTGACTGTCAGGATTACTTCTAGACAGAACATGTTAGAAGGAATTTTTCTACAACAGCATCATTATAAAGTTATATAATTTGGCTCACTGACACAGGATTTTGCATCAC